TTGACGTATGAAAGGGTGTAAGAACGACTATATCGTTTGTTATGTAAAAATTATACACTAATATTAAGCTCAAGAATGTATGCGAATGGTATGGGAGTGTCGAATTTTTGTTGAGGAAAATATGTGGTCGTTATTATTTGTTTATTAGGAAGAAAGTATTACTGGTGGCCCGGAGGCCTTTCCAGTTTCACTATGATAGGTGGGCAAGCATGGGCTCATCCAGGAGGGTTGGGATTTGCTTACGCCGAGCGCCTCCGAAGTAAACTTTTTTTTTTTTTTGGGAATCCGTTTACGCATACCCGTTCAAAGGGGGGTAACGGACCGGGTTATGTCGGACTCCGGCGCCTCCTGAGAGGAAGAAGGGGAGAAGAGAAGGACCGAGGTCCTTCACCTCCCTCAATTTCTCACACGAGACTACGCCTTGAAAAAGGCGCGCGAACCACTTGCCCCGCAGAACGACTACCGACTAAACCCCATCCACCACACTGACTGCACGAAATTTACGGTACCGCGGTGCGCGCCGAAAGTCTCGCCTTAGCTGGTACCCGTACTAATGTTAAGACGGGATCTCATCCCCGGGAAAATCCCGAAGAACCTCGTCTCGGGAGACTCCGAAGTAGACCTAACAGCTTAATGTCAGCTGCTTCGCGAATGTATGTAGGCTATATTTGATCGTATTTGGGTATACATATATGTATGTGACATTTGCTGTCGAGTTTCGGAAATTGGTTTACAATTTTACGCTACACACGTAATCTATTCAACGGTGGCTTGTGAGGGCGTCTTGTGAGCTGGCAGGGATAGGTCACGCCACGATTCCTATTTCTGCTGCGAAGCAGTTATGGTTGCGCTCTGAAGGACGGGGCAGCCATTATAATACAGAATTTAAACTTAGACAATATAGATTTAGACATCATATTTCAAGCTAAGTGGCGGCATGGACGTTGTGATGTGTCCGATAACCCGTCTATGCAGTAAAAACTTGCTTCAATCTTTTGTCTTTTTTTTGTTGTCTATCTTTATTGAAAAATAATATTATTCTGTATTTCAGCTGAACATTTTTTCATAGCATTCGCAGTTTTTCATGGCCGAGTCGGAGATCTGATTAAAACTACTACCGGATCGGAATCGAGACCCACTGAGAAGATCCGAGCACCCGAGCCACAAGCGTCGTTCGTAAATAGTAATAGTAAAAGTATTCTACATTAGCTACTCACAGCAACGAGTCTTTCATTCTCATCATGAGGGGTCCTCCAAGATTGAGGCCTGACGGGATCAGGTTGGGGTGACCACCCGATTTGTATATTTCGTGTTGTGCCATCCCTCTCGATGCGAGTAAGTCCTGTATTTAAAAAAACTTTACCAGTAGGTCATTTAGGTCATGGTTGGTTTTCTAATCTGCCTAAAATGGAAAACTTATTCTTAAGCTATGAAGCTATGTACCGTGGACCCTTAATGAAAACTATCTCTCTCGAAAAAGAATATGTATAAACAGACAAACACAAAATAGTCCCATTTTATTTGATAGATTGATAGTAAATGATGATTTTATATAATATTTTTACGTTTAATAGATTTTTGTCGATAGACTGTTTTGCGCCAAAAATTCCCTATCTTCATAATAAAAAATGTCAATAACAAAAAAAAGGGAAAGTATAATATGGAATCTGCAACTTGGTCTAGTTTGCTTAAAGAAGTGTTCTTTTAAATTTATTAATTTAAAAAAAAAAAAAACAATTTAATTCCATATAACTTTTTTAAAACGTTGATTAGTAAAAAAATTCCAAAAATGTTTTCTGGTAAGTTTTTTTTTATTGCCGTATACGCAGACGACCATACGGCCCACCTGATAGTGAGTGGTTACCGTCGCTTATGGACGTCAGCATTGCCAGGGGCAGAGCCAAGCCGCTGCCTACCGTTAAAATTAAATTTTGAATACAATCAAATTGGAGTGCCAGTTTATTGAATAAGTATGATATATTTATATTCTTTTAGGCTAAAATGGTTTTAGTTTATTAACATTTATTCAAAAATATCAAAGTAGGGTGGACTAGTAATTTTTAGTAGTAACTTTATACGAAAACTAATGATAATTCAAATTGGCCCTATTAACACCAGACCACAGATTTTATTTTTAGGAGACAAAGCTGGTTAATGTTTTCGCATATAAATGTACTATAACACAGTGTGAAAGTTTATTTATGAAAAGGCGCAGTAGACCACATCGTTAAATATCGTATTACTATGCATTCTATTTACCGCGAGCAGTAAATACAGTTATTCCGATGAATTGTGAATGTGAAACGAACGTAAAATACTCAAGAAGATGCAATTTAAACTATATCGCTTGGAATACGAGCTGTCATAAAACATTAAATAGCAGAGGGAAATTTAATATGGTTCTGTTGAAAAAGATAAAACGAGTACACGTGGTTCACCTATGCAATACTTCGCAGTTAGGTTACATGGCAACAATATTTCTTTTCCTTCATTAGTGACGTTTCTGTATATTAAATGATACGTCAACTGTCAAACAAACTGCAAAACCATATTCATTTTCACTGAGCACAAAATATACAGATTATATGCTTAATTTAATTACGTATGTTTTTAATGTAATACCTTATACACAATCCGCTCTAAAATTAAACATTGCAAAATATTGGTTAATGTGTAAACAAATACAGCGGTCTATTATTGTCGCACGAGTGGGTAGTTGCGTAGCCCGCATTAATTCCTGCTTATAGGGTAGGATGGTTTTCAATTTAATTGTAGCTTAGACCTCGTATTGTGAGGTGGGCGGCATCATACGAATTCTGATATCTATGGGCTTAGGTAGGCATCAATACCACAATTACAAGAAATATATTTGATGTCGACATTAATAGATTACCAATATTATTTTTTAATCTTTTTAATTAGTACTAGTGGTCCCGCAGTAGTCGAAATTCGACTATAATTAATTGGAATTGTAAGTTTGTACACTATTATGATTGTGTTTTATACTTCTATAATCACAAATTTCGCGAAGACTACACTATAAAAAAATATCAATAAAGACAAACAATATTTAATCTATTCTCAATTTGACAACAGACGCCAAGAACAAAAGTTTGACAATAAATAGTATGCATGCGTGTGTGCATCAAATACATGGTATGTAGTGTGTGTAATGTTTTCTTTATTGATTTAATGTATCTTTTATGCATTATTTTAAAAAAAATATTAGCTTGTGCTATAAATGTGGAAAATTTCATACTCCTCCGTCCGCGCAATTTTCGTAAAACGGGATACAAAGTTTTGCTTCACGTATTAATATATGGATGTCGACTAAATGAATTGGATAACTTACTGATAGCATTGCTTTATCAAATCCCTCGCTAGCGTATGTTTGGATTTTATCACGGATATTGTATTGTTTTGCTGTGAATTTAAAAATATATTTCAAAACTTATATTATTAAACTAAACTTTTCATATTTGTGGTTTACGTTCTTATAAAAGATTTTCTGAAAAAATAAGCCTCTATAGCTTCCATAGAATAGAATTAATCTTGCTATAATCTGAATTGCGCTACTAAAATTTTTCTATTTTGAATATTTCAAAGCTTAGAACAACAGCATTTGAACCTTTCGAAGCGATATCTTACGCTTCGTTGAAGATTTTTCCCGTCACTACGAGCTTCATAAACTTCGAAACTAGTAGCGCCTTTCGTATAAGGGAAAATGCTACGAATAAATATTATCATTTATTCGTAGGGAAAATGTAAAGGCGTTTGTACAATACTCTAAAAAGGAGGTTGCACTTAATTCATCGAGTAAAATAAAAAAATTTAAAATGAACATTCATCCTGGAATTATTAATCGCTCGTTAGCGTTCAGCCGGGAACAAGTTAATCGTTGATAAAGCTCGGGTTCCCTGGGAAAGAAGTACCCTCATAATTCAGCAGTTTCATATATTGTATGTAATCTATGATAGTGTCGTATGACGTAGCTTGAACTGCCACTGTGGTGCGTAAAATAAGCTTTCTACTGATCGATAGCTTCCTCCGATAGTATCCTCTTAGCATTGTTGAATTTCTCCGATGCCCATTTTACGTCAGCTATTAATGCAACGCATCTCTTGGGAAAACCGAGCTTTAATGAGTGTGTTCTGACGATGAAGAAAATACCCATCGCGTACGTTTACCTTTAAAAAAGGGTTTGTATTAATTTATCCATGTTTAAAAAAGGGTTTGTATGTGTGATCGCCTTTTACCGTCTAATTTATCCATGATATCAAAATGCTGTTTTGCATCGAGTGACATCCAGCAACCCGTGGTGTTCACGACTTGATTATCATCGTTATAATTTAAATCATTTGTTTGAAGTTTTGAGTCTTCGTCGATTTCGTTGTCATTTTCTGTGAAAAAAAAAATTCGGCTTCCAAGTTAAAAAAAATATAACGTTATTATTTCCGAAGCCTTCGATTGCCGTAAGCGATGAAGCGATTAAAATATTTTATGCAGGTTTACAATCATGAGGATTATTTTTAAATATTCAAATCGTGAAGCATTTTCCAAAAAAATATGAATCATATTTTTTAAATTTAAGCAAAGGGACGAGGTTTCTACGGCTTAGCTGATCTTAAGCATTTACATGAGCCTATCGATATCAGAACCCGTCTGGAGACATACGATTGAACTTTTAACTGCACCATAGCTTATGCTACCCTTCAAACCGGTACTTATCTTTACTTCGTGATAGAATTAGATTGAACGGTGCTACCCGTTTGTACGAGTTTCTGCCATACCTAATGGCAGTACTAGGCGTAGTAGTAGGTAAGCTAACCTCCTAGGTTAGAAAGAGAGAGTTAATCAGGAAGATATGTGAGGAGATGATTGAGGAGTGGAACAGATAGGGAACATATGACATAACACAATTTAAATAAAGTTTTACATCCTCAGAATTTTAATTTGAAAAGAAATAAATAACTTCATTTATTTAATGCTTTAATAAAACAATGGGATTCGGTATCAGAATCAGCGTGGGTCAAGTAGTGCGGTTGTCCATTGCCGATCTGTTTATTTTTGCTGTAAACGAGTAATACGTACAGGTTTGAAGGCTGGAACAACTGTAATACTATAGAATTGGGAGATAGACCTCATATCTCAAGGTAGGTGTTGGGATTCAGTTTTTTTTCCTACCTTAGCTGATAGCCTTGAGAGGCTATTTCGGCGTAATCTTAACTAGTAGGTGAGCTCACGGGGCTCAAACCTGATGACGTTGCTAACACGAACTCTATCAAGAGTCGTGCTTCGCAGAATCTACCGCCGGATCGAAAACGCGACCCACTGAGAAGATCCGGCGAGAAACTCAGTGGGCTTTTTCTGTGAGTTAATTTACTCGTCGAACCCTTTGTCGCAAGCGACGGCGAGAACGACGACCGGACGGATTCAGTTTGTGATGTCTGGGGGATATCTGGTAATTGCTAACATCACGTGGATAGTCTATGAGATATATTNGCTTCGCAGAATCTACCGCCGGATCGAAAACGCGACCCACTGAGAAGATCCGGCGAGAAACTCAGTGGGCTTTTTCTGTGAGTTAATTTACTCGTCGAACCCTTTGTCGCAAGCGACGGCGAGAACGACGACCGGACGGATTCAGTTTGTGATGTCTGGGGGATATCTGGTAATTGCTAACATCACGTGGATAGTCTATGAGATATATTTTTGTGCTTATTTATAATATTTTTGTGCTATCTACATCACTAACCTTCATTTTCGGAGATTTTGTGTAGTTTAACATTTGTAACAGTTAAAATATTCAACAAAACAAATGTATAAAAATGTTGTTGCATGTTATGGCAATTATTTTTCAATTACTTTCGAAAGCTAACGCAAAAGTGTTTTTATGGTTCCTTATCTACATTCGATTATTTGATATTCTGAAGTTATTTCAATTAATTTTCCTTTTATCTTCGATCGAATTTCTTTGGCACGAATTAATAAGCATTTCTCTAAAAACAAATTGTTTTATGTAACGTGAAACTCGCGCGGCATTTCACTTCAAGGTCCGCTTTGCACTAAAAATAGGAAATGTTGAAAATTATTATAATACTTGTGATAATGGCGTTGGAAATTAATTCGGACAATATCGGGGGTGCTATTATGAAATATTTTGAGTCCGGTGAGTTATTACCGCTGTTCGATCCGAACCCAGTGCCCTCGTGGCAGCCTAGGGCTCCGGAAACCAGCACGAGGTGGTAACAAAATATCATCTAATCACTCACCGGAACCGATGACCTCGTCGTCTCACGCCGTAGCACTTAGGGGGAAGGGTTTAGGGCAGGAATGGATAAGGGTTAGTGATAATGCAAGCCGTTAGCGTAGACCGTCACATATGAGGGTAGGTACCGTCCCGTTCGAGAAGCAAGACAAAGTGACAGATGTCAAATCGCGAAGGCACCGTCAAATCGCGACCCGTGTTGCCGTGGTAAAAATTCAATTACCCACGGATTGGTTTCGAACAGTCGCTATGGAAGTTGAATTCAAATACGTGCGTACCTAATACATAATACGAATTGCTACCAAATATTAATATAAGAAAGGCGCAAGCGTTTCTTTACCCTGGTAAAGTCAAATGATCGTGTGGTGTTTTCCTAAAATTAGTTCCAATAAATCTTCTTTTTTGTCCTATGGCTAAAAGGAGACTATGAGAGTCACGGAATAATCGATGGAATCCCTTTTCTTGCCGGATCTTCTAAGCAGGTCGCGATTCCAACCCGGTGGTAAATTCATTCGCGACGCAGCTGCTCTTGAGTTGTTAAGCCTCCTTCGGAGGCGCTCGGGCAGCTGTTAGCAAATCCCACCCCTCCTGGCTGAGCCTTTGCTCGCCCACCTGTCCTGGTGAAACTGGAAAGGCCTCCGGGCCACCAGTAAACCTTCAATCATAAAAAAGAATACCTGTTTTTATTGTTTAGACAGTGGAACACACTCACCACCCATTTAGTATTAAGTGGTTACAGGGGTTTTACATATCAACAACGTTAATGCACCCGCCAACCTCAAGACACGAGTTCTAAGTCTCATTTGTATAGTATGATGGCTGCTCCATACTTCAAACTGGATCACATTACTGCTTCAGGGCATAAATAAGCAGGGTGGTGCTACCTACCCGTGCGGGCTCACAAGGCGCCCTATCATTAGTAATTAAAGCCGGATAGGNGTGGTTACAGGGGTTTTACATATCAACAACGTTAATGCACCCGCCAACCTCAAGACACGAGTTCTAAGTCTCATTTGTATAGTATGATGGCTGCTCCATACTTCAAACTGGATCACATTACTGCTTCAGGGCATAAATAAGCAGGGTGGTGCTACCTACCCGTGCGGGCTCACAAGGCGCCCTATCATTAGTAATTAAAGCCGGATAGGACGATACGAGTGTACCGGATATCTTATCCTTTAGGTCACGATGACTTCTGTTATATCCGGGTACTGGCATCGTCAAGTCATATATTGGTGGTATAGTGCATTGTGAACCCATATAGTTGAGGAAGGTCCGTCTATTTGCAATTGTAGATTCCAATTATGCGTCCAAGTATTATAGATTCGCTGTGAGCTCCTTCGTCCATATTAGCCAATAAAAAAAGCATCAGTTATGAAGTGGTGCACTAAAAAGTATTTTTTTTATTACTATCAGTGAACAGGATGCGGTCATTGTCTCAAAAACTAAAAAAGAAATCGACTACAAGTCACTTCTACAAATTAAGACCACAGATCAAGTTGTAGTTGGCCTGGAGAAAACAGTGTATCTCGATACTAGTAAAATTGTTTATTTTTACAGACACCGTTCGCGAGTTCCAAGATACATGGGCTGATGTTCAGAGACCTTTAGAGAATGCAATAGTTTCTGTGCGTAAAATTTTGCAAAGTTTTTATTCGTATCTATCTGACCCGGCAGACTTCGCAGTGCCTCAAACGATAAATAAAAGACCTAAGCTTTTGTATAAAATAAACTTAAAACAAACAAAAGGAATCCGTCCGACGGGGGACACATCAAAGGGCAAACAAAATTGTTTGTTTTTATTTAATTCCGAGCATTTTCATATTTATCTACCTTTTAAACCTTTTTTGGACTTCCACAAATAATTTAACACCAAATTAGCCAAATCGATCCAGCCGTTCTCTAGTTTTAGCGAGACTAACGAACAGAAATTCATTTTTATATATATAGATAGATAGATTATGATGCCACAAAACTTGGTCAATACTAAATAGTTTATGCTTTTGTTTTCTTTTTTAAGGCCTTGAAAGAAAGCTACGGATACCGGGGCATGAACGTTTTCGTTCGCAAGACCAGGGATCCTCATTCGATCGCCACTGGCTACTACCACAACGATATTCAGGTTCGGTTGTAAGTATTCAGCATTCTGTTGCGTCATCATCAGTGTGGGAGTATCTTTTAATGTTTAACAAAAACAATCATCTAACATTTTGTGTGTTAGTTACATTCCTTTTTAAGAGATTTTAAATGAAGGAGGAGATCTTTATACGCCGACTGACTACGTTGATTGACTCTGGTGCTGTAGTTATCGCCCCTGACTGTTGAGCCGAGGATCGTGGGTTCGATTCCCACATCAAGAAAACATTCGTGTGATGAACAGATTTGTTTGCTCTCTGTCTGATTGTTTATTATCTATATATGTATATATTTAAACGTTTTTTCTTTTGTATAGTGTAGTCTTCGTGAAATCTGTGATTATAGAAGTATAATATTCTTTGACAATAGAACCATAATAATGTTCAAACTTATAATTTCAATTAATTATAGTCGATATTCGACTACTGCGGGAAGACTGGTTTAAATAATAATTCGCAATTAATGCTTATAAATTAACATTTTTCTATGGTAAGGATTTTGAAATTCAACATTTCTAATAGTGTAAATAATATTATAATCATAGTTGAGAAGGTCTACTTGTTTATTATTATTCTTTGTTTTCTGTATGCACTGTGGTAATTTAATTTTGATTTAAATGTGTATGTGAACTGATGAATTGTTGTTATCTTTATTGCTTAAAGTTGTCGTTGCCTAAAGGATATGACGTCCGATGCATTCGTATCTTGCAATGCAAGTACCAATTTTTCTAATGAAATACGTACTAAACAACTGCTCACGATTTACTTCCACGGTGAAGGAATAACAGCGTGTAATAAAAATCAAACCCGCAAAATTATAATTTGCGTAATCACTGGTGGTAGGAGCTCTTGTGAGTCGCACGGGTAGGTAAATAAATAATAAATAAATAATAATAAATAAATATTTACTAACAGTCACGCCACATTAACTGGTCCCGTGATAAGTTCGTAAAGAACTTGTGTTACAGGTACCAGATAACGGAAATAAATATAAGATTTTTATTATACACATACACATATTTAATATACATCCATAACCCTGGAAAATACATTCATATTTATCATACAAATATCTTCCCTTGGCGGGATTCGAACCCGCGACCCCACTGTGTAGTGACCATGTCACTTACCACAACCCCAGACGGCCGTTAGTACCACCAACCTGCCTATTTCTGCTTTTTATTTTCGTTTATAGAACTCATATCTCAAGGTAGGTGATGGCATTTACCTTGTAGATTGCTATGGACTCCGGTAATCATTTAAAATCTGGGCCGTGAGCTCTTCCATCAAGCTAAGTTATAAAAAAATTAATTGATAAATAAATGAATTAAATTGAATTGCAGATTGCTCTCCAACTTAGATTTGGAAAACCTTCCGTACCTATGGATGCCCCAAGTGACCTTTCTTCTGCCGGACAACGTTCTCAAAATAAACGCATCGTTGAGCAAAATGATCGTGCATTGTAAATATACGGTGTTTAGGAATACAACAGATATGATTTACGACGCGAACGAGCAAGACTCCAATCTGAACTCCCCGTTTAGATTCCAGCAGGTACAGAACACGGGGGATCTGGCGTAAGTTTCCATTGAAATGTTCACACGTTAAAATCTTCGTATTCCAATTGCGAAATTTGGGAGACCTTTTTTTTTTTTTTCATTTATTGTTATCGATTTTTTTAATTTCGAATGAAAACTACATGGTTATACAGGGTGTTGTGTTTTCATAATGTTTAAAAAAAATTTTTCATCTTATTTTAATACAAAGTAAAACAAAATATTACAAGTACATACCAAATTGACTTGTAATATCTTTTATAATTGTACAATTTGGTACTGAACTATCCATATGATTTTTTTAACACGAATCAGTCGCAACTGGTTAACATGCAATCCTAGTATCAATTAATAGTGAAATTTAGAGATAAGCGGGCTTTAAGAATGCAAGAGGGACAACCATTTTGGGTCTCAATAAAATATATCTAAAGCTAGGACCAGATCAGGTCGGCAGTACGCGGCTGTTTGCATGAGTGTACCAGGCTCACCACAAACCAGGAGGAGTGGCGATTGCTCGTGAAGCGCATAACATCTGCCCACACCAATGATGCTGGATGACGACCACGACCACTCTGACAACAGTGATACGACATACGACATAAAGCTAGGATTCTAAATTATTTTCATTAATCTGGTCTTGGTTTCAGAATATCAATAGAAGCATGTGTGTTATCCGGTTTCGTTATGACACTGTTGGACGGTCCATCCGTGAACCTCGGGATATCTTCTCTAGAATTATCGAAGTGCCGTTTTTCTTTTGAGGTACTCATAACAATTAAATTATAATTTTAAGGAGTACTTCAAACATGCCTCTGGATTATATGGTATCTGATTGGAGAATTACGTTTTAATCATATTATTATTATTTTGATGATCTACACCTATACCAAATAAATGGAATATTTATTGTTTATAGTATTGGAGTTTTAGTAATATTTAATTTAATTCAAATATAAATTCAATCCGTAAATGATATGGGGTTTATAAGAATACATATTATGCTTTTAGAATGTTACCATAAGATTAATTTGCACAGATATTTTTTTTAGATTTATAAACAAGGCTTAGGAACGCCTCCGGTCCTCGCTAATTATGACCTAACAAACGATGGTAAGTGTCTTTCATTGAAGTGTCCTTTGCTATAATATTTTCAGATGTAATAGAAGAAGATAATATCCCAAATTAACATTCTGTATGTAAGCCCATGTATGTATCTCTATTATCCATGTTCCATATTTGAAACGATAGTTTTTTTTATCTAAGGACACGTGTACACATAATACATTTTCCAGGGTTAAACATTCTGAATTTGCTGACGGTTCCACTACGAGAAGAATTGATGCCAAAGCTACAGGCCGCCATGTTCAGTTATGTTAATACTACAGCGATATTCGGCGATCATTTAGCGAATATTCGGTAAATATGACGACTGACCATCATTTCAACATTTAAGGAATTAAATCAATACCTTAATATGTATCGATAAGAATTTTATAATTTAAATAAGCATTCCATTAATTTCAACAAAGTTACTTAAAGAAAATCATAATAACTCTTTGGTGCTCATTTCATTTGGCGTCTCGAATAAGAATGGTCGATGGTGTGTGTTGGCTTAAAGGTCTCATTAGCGGGCCTAAATAGGCATAAAAACAAAATAGTGAAATATAATTAAGAATGAGAACGAATGGTGAGAGTATAACCATAGATGATACACTTAATTTTTTAAATGTTAAACGTAAAATTACAGATATATTGTTGTTTTTTTGCGCTTGTATTAAAAATAGCATCCGATGATTAGCTATTTTTACAAACCCATGTTAGATCTAATATAAATTTAAATATGCACGGATTAACAAGTTTAAGTCAACATATGACATATTCTTATCGATTTCAAACTAGTGTTGCGAGTACGAATAATTTAGTCTACATTTATGAGTCTAGACAATAATTAAATAGAACAAATAGATCAATTATTAATTACTTATAGTTAGTTTTATTTTTGTATTTAAAATTTAGATCTATTTGAGTTATTGAACATAAAATATTTTAATTTATTTTCATAATAAATAAATCGGACAAGTTAAGAACTGTCACGCCTCGTTGTTGCTATGAATAAAACAAAGATTTATTTTTATTTTTACTACATTTGTGTACTATTAAAAATATTCTATTCTGCTCTAGTCGGCTACGTAATTAAATTACGTCGAATTAGGTGAAACGTGTTTATTTCTACTTTGTTGACTGCGGCAGGCACACCGCATATTATACTTTAATGACTGAATGTTAGAAACTTTCACTTTAGTGCTAACAACAATAAACAAAGTTTCATTCGATCAAAATGAACGATACAAAAGTTTTGAGTACGAAAACACAACAATCTATTTATTTATTGCTTAAAATGATCGATGGTCTCCTGGTGTTATCGAAGCCTATAGACATCGGTAGGCAGCGGCTTGGCTCTGCCCCCGGCATTGCTGAAGTCCATGGGTGACGGTAACCACTCACCATCAGGTGGACCGTACGCTCCCCTGCCTACAATGGCTATTAAAAAAAATCACCAAAGTAAAAGCTACCCACATTGAAACGCATTACTGCTTCACGGCAGAAATATTTATCGTAAAAGATAATTTATTCTATGTTTAGTCGTAAGCAAGAGGGTTTGTTACGCACGAGCTGGTTATACATGGCTGATGTCGTCAGAAACCTTAATAAGGTCACGCTTCAAGAGAACCTTGGTAATATCGAGATGACCGATTTTGACATAACATGGAAGGAAACTGTAAGTGGTCTTTTTAGTTTAAACTTTTAGAAAACTACAGAATTCCTAGAAAAAGAAATTCTTTTACTATTCATTATTATTACATTAAATAGGAATGCTTTGGTTGATCATTTGCGTTTACGTACTATTTATAAAAATATATATAGAGAGTTGTTAGTAAATCTAAATCTCTGTCCTTGTGATGCTGAAAAGTGACAAAAGCATTTATTTTATTACAAAAAACAAATGCGAAGAAAATACGTATCGAACTTGTATTTTTGAACGATTGCAAAGGCGAAGAACTCTCTTCGTAGCTATTTATCCCACATGGTGGTGGGTACAGCTTACTTTTCTCATCCATTCCTACCAGTCCCTGTAGTCCTTGAGCACTATATCTTCACACCTTTACTTGGGTCTTTCTCTAAGTTTTCGACCGGGGAGGTTGAGCTGCAGCGCCAAATTTCCGATGTAGTCTGGTGGCCTCCTTTTAACGTGACCATACCACCAATTTAATGATGAAAAACGCGTAATAAAATTCGAACCCGCAAAATTTATATGCGTATTTAGCGGTTGGCCTTTCTGGGGGCAGGGAGGTACTAATGGTACTAAGTAATCGTAAGCCCGCACTGGTAGGTACTATCCTACCTATTTCCGGCGCGAAGCATGTCGTATCAAATCGTCTTTGTTTTATTTCGAACACGTACGGGGCTCGCAAAAGCTTTCGTTGTAAAATGTAAACGAAGCTTTTTCGAGTGGAATGATCTGTTCGTTTCCAACTCGACAAAACGCGGGAACAACGTAACAGATGGGATTTCATTTAATTTCTTTAATTCCTCTTCAGTGAATGAGAAATGAGTTAACATTTCATTTTCATTGTATGATTGTGCTTTATGAAATGTAATCTGACTTCACGAAATGTAAGTAACAATACAGTATCTTTAATATTAATGTTTGATTTTAGCTTAACCAATGTGAATGAATTAAGGTTAGGTTGCCATTATGATTTATGTAACAGGCCAGTATATTCTAATCCAACGAAAGAAACATTAAGATGGAATAGCATCCTAAAAAAAAAAATTGGTGTACTTAATGGTGCCTATTTTTTTTGTGCCTATTGCCTCTGTTGTAATGTTGTGAAGTAATTATAATGATTTTAAGTTTGTAATGATGTAAGAAATTTCGTTTCATCATCAGCCTGTATCTATCCACTGCTGGATGTAGGCCTCTCCCATAGTCCGCCACAATGAACGATCCTCCGCCTTCCGCATCCAATCTCTCCCAGCATATCGCCGCAAGTCATCAGTCCAACGGGCAGGGGGACGCCCAACGCTGCACTTACCGGTACGCGGTCTCCAGTCCAGAACACGTCTGCTCCATCGGCCATCGGTTCTGCGACACGTATGTACGGCCAATTGCCATTTCAGCTTGCTAATCTTTAGGGCTATGTCGGTTGCTTTGGTTCTTTGACGGATTTCCTCATTTCTAAGTCGATCCATCAAAGAAACTCCCAGCATACACCTTTCCATAGCACGCTGAGCGACTTTGAACTTACGGACTAGACCTACGGTCAATGTCCACGTTTCGGCGCCATATGTCATGACCGGCAGCACGCAAGCGTTGAAGACTTTTGTTTTTAGGCATTGCGGGATTGCTGAGTTCAAGATATGACGGAGTTTTCCATACGCAGCCCAACCCAACTGTATGCGCCTATCAGCTTCTTTCTCAAAGTTGGCCCTGCCTAGCTGAATAATTTGGCCTAGATAAGAGTATTCAGACACAACTTCGAGTACCGCGGATTCGACTATTACCGGTCCAGGAATGATATGGTCGTAAGAAATTTCGTTTGCTGTGTAGGAAACATATCTTCCGCGGTTCTTTCTATGTCTGACAGTGTGCGAGCGCGTCAGGATTTATATATAACTAGCGGACCCGACAGACGTTGTCCTGCATACACAAAATTAATAAAATTAATGAATGCATACACAAAAATTCATTCAAATCGGTCCAGCCGCTTAGGAGAAGTTCAGTGACGTACACACGTACATACGTATGTACGTTGTAATGATTATGAAACTATTATTATTGAAAATTTAATAGCGCGAATTTTTTAGATACGGTCGAACTCTTAACTGTGTTGTTGTCTCAACGAATGTTCTAGTCTACAAAGCAAAATTAATATTTACATTGATTACAACTCTAGTATATAGTTGATATCAAAGCGATATCTATCTAATATGAGCAGTTTTTGGAATTTTCGAGATTCTATTATTTGACTGCTTTACGAGTTTTCGTAAAAACAGTCTGCTACGCGACTTTAAGCATTAATATTATTTATTTGTTGATTTGATTGTTTCTTTATTATACTTTATATAAAATTTACAATGGCGAACTTAATGCCTAAGGCATTCTCCACCAGTCAACCAAAGGTAGTGCAGAGTAAATAGTTGTAGGTGCAATGACATTTATATTAAATTACAAGTACATACACAAATACCTATACAAATATAATATACATACATACATGTACACACATACATACATATATATCATACTTTATACGGTTTTCAAAGGAATATATTAATAAATTCATTTAACAAATAACTTCAAACTTATAAAGTACTTTTATGATTAAATTATGCTGCATATATAAACATTTTTACTTCGGCACCTCACTGTAATGCTTTTCGCACGTAGCATAGACTAATTTGACATCTACGATGCGTGTTGGTAATTAAGAATTTATTTACTATGATAAAAAAATTCAAAAAAATCGGATCGTCATTTCTTAGCTTTTTTTTTTTTTTTTTTATTGCTTAAATGTGAGGACGAGCTCACAGCCCACCTGATGTTAAGTGGTTACTGGAGCCCATAGACATCTACAACGTAAATGCGCCACACACCTTGAGATATAGTTCTAAGGTCTCAGTATAGTCACAACGGCTGCCCCACCCTTCAAACCGAAACGCATTACTGCTTCACGGCAGAAATAGGCGGGGCGGTGGTACCTACCCGTGCGGACTCANCACCTGGTGTTAAGTGGTTACTGGAGCCCATAGACATCTACAACGTAAATGCGCCACACACCTTGAGATATAGTTCTAAGGTCTCAGTATAGTCACAACGGCTGCCCCACCCTTCAAACCGAAACGCATTACTGCTTCACGGCAGAAATAGGCGGGGCGGTGGTACCTACCCGTGCGGACTCACAAGAGGTCCTACCACCAGTAAAAGAACACCAACCTTGCAATCAGTATGTAGGCACACTCTGTATATATTATACCATTTTTTTTTCATTTCAGTCTTCAAACTCGCAACAAAATCGGACATTCAATCAAATTCGTTTGTCGAAAATGGTTTTAAGCGGACTCGAAACGGCATACTTATCGCAGACAGGAGGACCGTACAGATTTCCGAATTACGAATTACGAGAACAAATCAGATTAAGCAGTTTACTAGTAAGAGATACGATGCATTTCTATTTATTTGATTAATCGTCAGAGTCATACATTTCCAAATTTGCACGGAAGGATGGTGGCAATCTCGAGAGGCTCATCGTGACTGGTAAGGTAGATGGGAAAAGACATCGGGGGCGCAGCTCAATACGTTGGTCCGACCAGATCCGCACCGCTCTTGATTCCACGTTTCACAACGCCCTCCACACCGCCAGAGACAAGAATAAATGGAGAAAGATCGTGCGTGCGAAGGTGATTCAAAAGGGTGGTCACGACCCTCAGCAATGAGGAATACGACGCAAGGAGGGAGGAGCCCATATACATCTGCGACGTAAATGCGCCACCCACCTTAATATATAAGTTCTAAGGTCTCAAGTATAGTTATAATATCATCATTATCCTGCCCTTCTCCCAGTCACCCGGGGTCGTCGCAACATGTTTTCTCCTTCCATACTCTTCTATCATACACCATTTCTTCGCTCACTCCCTTCTTACCCATATCGTCTTTCACGCAATCCATCCATTTCTTCTTAGGTCTACCTCTTCCTCTATATCCTTACACATTCATAGTTAACATTCTCTTACCAACCTCATTTTCATTTCGTCTCATCACATGTCCATACCATCCCAAACGCGCATTCCTCAGCTTCTCTGTCAAAAGTGGCACTTTCAGACTTCCTCTAACATTTTCATTCCGTATTCTATCCATTCTCGTTACTCCACACATCCATCGCAACATTCACATCTCTGCTGCATGCAATCACCTTTCTTCCCCCACTTTAGTTGTCCAACAAGCGGATCCATACCAGACGGCAGGCCTTATTAAGGTTTTATATATCTTCCCTTTTAGGGGAAGAGGAATGTGTGAGTCACCTATTTTTGCCGTGAAGCAGTAATGCGTTTCGGTTTGAAGGGTGGGGCAGCCGTTGTGACTATACTGAGACCTTAGAACTTGTATCTCAAGATGGGTGGCGCATTTACGTTGTAGATGTCTATGGGCTCCAGTAGCCACTTAACACCAGGTGGGCTGTGAGCTCGTCCACCCAACTATGCAATAAAAATAAAGAATAAACTGGCTTATCCGGTTAAATGACATAACCGAAATGTTATAATTGAATTAAACTGAAACCACTTTTCGACTGAGGTCAATGACTGAAACGAATTAAAAAAAAATTGGTTTCCCAGTCCCGGCAGCCATTTTGCGTTGATACATCTCGCTTATTTTTACTGAAGCATTTGTTTTGTGATCACCTGTACTATTGTTTCAATTTATACATCGAACTATTTAAAAGAGAATCGCTATCAGTTTCCTTGACTTTAGTTCTTGCACAACACGAAATTATCTAGTAACTTCTTCTTCTTCTATGACATAAAAAAACAACAAATTTGGATTTTAAGCTATTAAAAAATGTGTATAGGTAAATGGCCATATCAGATATACCGGAAGCGACGAAGCTGATTACGATTTTTCCGTCGAGATAACAGATCTATGTGTAGACGTAACTATAGACGTGTCACACACGAAAAAACGAAAGTCTTCCACTAAAGGTGTTCAAAACGTGATCGTAACAGGATGGAGGTAATTGTCACATAAAAATTAACACATACCTATTTTATGTATCTGGTATCGGTACGTATTACCAAATCATACATAGTAGTAGTATAACGTATTATTATTAGTATTTTTTCATATGTATCTAGATTAATTCGCTGTTATTTTTGAATTTTGTCTCGAAACGGTCAAAGTTTGGACTTTCTTTGACTAATCTTATTTTACAAAATTTTATTTGTCCTTATTTGACTTTGTTTGCCTATTTTACTAGCTCACGTGGTACTAAGCTATTACCAGAATCCACTTATTTTTATCAAAAACTCGCTGACCCGGCAGACTTCGTAATGCCTCAATCGATAAATAAAAGACCTAAACTTTTGTATAAAAAATAAACTTAAAACAAACAAACGGAATCCGTCCGACGGGGGACACATCAAAGGAAAAACAAAATTGTTATTTTTATTTAATTCCGAGCATATTCATTCATTTATCTACCTTTTAAACCTTCTCTGGACTTCCAAAAATAATTCAAGACCAAAATTAGCCAAATCGGTCTACCCGTTCTCGAGTTTTAGCGAGACTAACGAACAGCAATTCATTTATATATATATATATATATATAGATAAGCCGTTGTCACTATATTGAGACCTTAGAACTTATATCTCAAGGTGGGTGGCGCATTTACGTTGTAGATGTCTATGGGCTCCAGTAACCACTTAACACCAGGTGGACTGTGAGCTCGTCTACCCATGTAAGCAATAAAAAATAAAAAAAAGGTCAAAGTCACAAAATAGTTATATTGTAAAGGGACTGGTCGACCCTTCATCAGAAACAGGAACTAACGAAAACATAATATTGTCACCGTAACTGCTATAAATCTATATATTAATACGTGAAGCAAAAACTTTGTATCCCTTTTTACGAAAATTGTACGGACGGCGGAGTATGAAATTTTCCACACTTATAGAAAATATAGAGAAGAAGTGCACAATGATAATATTTTTTTTTAAATAATGCATAAGAGATACATTAAATTAATAAAGAAAACATTACACACACTACATACCATGTATTTGACGCACACACGCATGCATACTATTTATTGTCAAACTTTTGTTCTTGACGTCTGTTGTCAGATTGAGATTAAATATTGTTTGTCTTTGTTAATATTTTTTATAGTGTAGTCTTGGCGAAATTTGTGATTATAGAAGTGTAAAATACAATCATAATAGTGTACAAACTTAAAATTCCAATTAATTATAGTCGAATTTCGACTACTGCGGGACCTCTAGTATATTCCTATTCTATCTATATACTGCTGTCGTAATGCTGTCAAAATAAGATTCGAAACATTTGATTGTAAACATTTGATTTGCGCTTTTAGGTCGGCCGTTTTTTCGATTCCCACTATTGTACCTTTCCCTCACACCGAGGCTCTTGTAATTGGATATATGTACAATACGATACCGAAGTATGTGGTCAATGTCTTGGTCAATGGATTAGACAGAGCTTTATATTATACGGAAACAAACCAAGTCGTCAATTTTAGTTTGTATGAAAACAAGGAAAACAGCGAACACGATAATGGTGAGAACTCGGCTTTGAGCCCCGTGAGCTCACCTACTAGTTAAGGTTACGCTGAAATAGCCTCTCGGGGCTATCAGCTTAGGTAAGAAAGAAAAAAAGGTGAGAATTATTTTTATGTTTTTTTTACGTAAGTCCATTTCCTCAGGACTAAGCATGGTTGTGTTCATTATATTTACATTGACTATTATCGTAAATTTTTTAATTTTTTTGGTATCGCGTATTTGGAAGGACGAGCTCACAGCCCAACTGGCGTTGGTAGGACCTCTTGTGAGCCCGCACGGGAGGTACCACCGCCATACCTATTTCTGTATAACTATAGTGAGACCTTAAAACTTATATCTCAAGGTGGATGGCGCATTTACGTTGTAGATGTTTATGGGCTCCGGTAACCACTTAACACCAGGTGGGCTGTGAGCTCATCCACCCAACTAAGCAATAAAAATAAACCGGCGATTTATTGGATATCGTTACTGTTACTAATATTAACTGAAGTACACTGTTAATGATAGACGCATGGTAATTGAAGATATTGCGTGCTTTATGAACAGTTAGAACAAAAAAAAAAGAAGGAATATATTTTAGTTGTAAAAACGCTGAACAATTAGACAAACACTCATTTCAGAGCATGTTCACACGACGGAGAAAGTTTTATCTGGGGGATTGAATTTCTGGCATGAATACGCTAGTTACTACCAGTGACTTTTCCACCAAATGGCGGCGGGATAACAGAACGCGTTTAAGTAATTTAAAGTCTGAAAGGCGTTAAGATTAAATTGTCAGAGAAAAAAAAAAAATCTAGTTATGACCACAGACTAGCAATAAAATCATGGAAAATAGAATTTCGTTTTTTTTTTGCTACAATAAATCGACTACTTTTTAGGTATGGAATTCAAGTTCGATGAGATATATAACACTTATTCAAGTTATATGGCCGATGTAAAAAAACCACACCGAAAACAAAGGCAAGGAAAAATTAATGCTTAGTAATTCACTAAGTGGACTCTTCGCAAATATTAATTTTGATAATAAAGGTGGCTCTATCATATACCAAGGCCCAATCATGGGTCAAAGTTCTCCTCCAAGCTATCCTCCAAATCGCGCTCCAAGTTCTCCTCCGAATCTCACTCAAAGATTACCTCCACCTGTAGATCCAAGTTTACGTCCAACTTTAGCTTCGAAACTATTTCCAACCTTCGTCCAAAAGGCTGTCCAACCTTAGGTCCATGTTTATGTACGGAAAATACTAAATAAGAAAACTAAAAACGAAACACACTGGTAGACATTTTAGAAGCAAACAATGAATTTTAAAGACCATGAAATGAAATGAGTAGGCGAAAATACAATCATTAGTTAACATTTTGTTTTATTTATAGAATAGATCGCTAAATGTACAATAAATAATAAAAGCACCCTTCATTTTGGAGTATAATTTTTTCCATTTATTGTTTTATTGCTTAAGGTGGGTGGACGAGCTGGCCCGCCTGGTGTGAAGTGGTTATCAGAGCCCATAGACATCTACAACGTAAATGCCGCCACCATATCTCGAGATATAGTTCTAAGGTCTCAGTTTTTACAGTATAACGGCTGCCCCCCCTTCAAACCGTAATGCATTAATGCTTCACGGCAGAAATAGGCAGGTTGGTGGTGACTACCCGTGCGGACTCGCAAGAGGTCCTACCGTCAGTAATTACGCCAATTATAATTGTGCGGGTTTGATTTTTTATTACACGATGTTATTCCTTCACTGCGAAATTGAATCGTGAACATTTGTTAAGTACGTATTTCATTAGAAAAATTGGTACCAGCCTGCGGGATTCGAACATCGGTGCATCGCCGTGCATCGCTAGATACGAATGCACCGGACGTCTTATCCTTTAGGCCACGACGAATTTCTCTTAACTTGATAGGGAGTGTCGCATGACGTCGAGTGCGTTGCTCATGGTAGCCAGCATTGTCCTTAGTGCCGTTGATTCGCTATGGTGTTAAATTAGAATTTGGTCGATCTCTATTACGCGGCCATAAACAAAGTGTTACAAATTCAATGGCAATCTTGTTTTTTACGTAACTCCAATTAACGAACAGCTTTTACTTCGAAGGCTTCGCTAAATTATTTTCCATAGTTGTTGGAAGGTATTGTAATTAAACAAAATTGGTAGGAAAGTTTTGTAGTCGATTGTGTAAGCGCCAACTAGGTTTGTCATTGAGATGATCGGTAATTTCGTCTTTTTTTGTTTGTTGATAGGCAGACGAAATTCTACGTCCACCTAATGTTAAGGTTGGGGTAGCAGTGGTTGCATAGAGTGTTTTTTCTTTCTAAGAATGGTGGGCGAACTCATGACACGTAAATGTCGCCACCCACCTTGAGACATGAGGTCTTAATCTCAGTTTTTACAGAACAGTGGCTGCCCATCCCTTCAAACCGAAACGCATTACTGCTTTACGTTATAAATAGGTAAGGTTGCGGTACTTACCCGTGCAGACTCACAGGACGTCCTACCACCAGTTGGCAAATTACAATTTTCGATTGGTTTACTTAGATAAGAATTTATCAAAAGAAAAACCTCAAGAATCAGGTTTTAATTTTAAAAAATCTGGAGTAAATATTTTGAAATATAAATAAAATGAACACGTGCATCAAAGTATAATTGTCTTAATTATTTTTCGTGTACAAAATTGGCTCATTGGATACGTTCAGATGGCTCGTCCGACAGTAAAATGCACGAAGGATCTCGTGGTCTAGACGTAGAGCAGTAATATCGAAAAACAATATTTTTATTGAATATAGTAAAACTTGAAATAGAAAATCATTTGGAATACAATCACACTGGCTTGTATATTATCTTATCTTCTTCGACGTCTTCAGATGGATAGTCCAGAACCGGCGGAGCTTTGTATGTTGAGAAACTCAATGAATTCAGCGTTGTTAAGTTTTCACTAAAATAATTAAAAAAATATGGAAAATTATAAGGAGCTTGGTAATGGGGATAAATTATAATCTAAATCATAATTATTATTTGGTATTTAATTTGTCTTAGGATCATATGTCAGAGGAAGAGGTAGGCCTAAGAAAAAATTGATGGATAGCGTGAAAGACGATATGTGTAGGAGGGAAGGGAGCGAAGAAATGGTATATGATAGAGGAGTGTGGAAGGAGAAAACATGTTGCGCCGACCCCAGGTGACTGGGAGAAGGGCAGTAGAATGATGATGATGATGTAATTTGTCATATTTGAATGCTCTTGGTATGGGTCTTTAAGAGTTTCAGATTACTGTTCTATTCCTTTCGTCGCTTGTGCCTTTACGACTGTGTTACCAGGTTAACCGACTTCTGAAGTATTCTTGGTCCAATACCTAAGATACCGGGTTGGACCAATACCCTTAATATTGTGACTGAAAATGAAGGGTATCAAGCTAGAAAAACGGTATCTATCATAAATGTGAGAGTTTTAAGAAGATAGCAACAAAAAAATAACAAATTGTAAATTCTGATGGAGGAAAAGTTTTGCAAGAAAGAGGTATCACGTTTCTTTTAGTTTAAGCGGTAAATCTCTCATGTCTTCCGGCTTTTAGTGTAGCTTTTATTCTAATGCAATTGCGTCTTCGAGCTCGTGCTTCCAAGTCTGATAGCAGCATCTGATTGTAGTGTGTGTTTTGTAAGACTCCATAGCCTCTGAAGACTAGAGGTCCATGAGTCTATTGTCTACGTTTTTTGAATTTAAGTGTAGTGCTTTTTGCAGCTTCATTCTGACATAGGCCCATGTTGGTAAAAATCTCTTTACTTTATCATTGAATGCAACACTAGGATTTTTTTTTTACTTTGATGGGTGGACGAGCTCACAGCCCACCTGGTGTTAAGTGGTTACTAGAGCCCATAGACATCCACAACGTAAATGCGCCACCCACCTTGAGATATGAGTTCTAAGGTCTCAAGTATAGTTACAACGGCTGCCCTACCCTTCAAACCGAAACGCATTACTGCTTCACGGCAGGAACAGGCAGGGTGGTGGTACCCACCCGTGCGGACTCACAATAGGTCCTATCACCAGTAAAAATTTGTATTTGTTAAATCACCTTACACCATCTTCATTTTTCTCTTTTGATATATTTGATTCGGAACTGTTATTTGTTCTTTCATTCGAATTAGTATTATTATTTTTATGAAAATTCTCGTCATCATAATCCTTGAGCGATTTGATAGCTGAAGTTATTTCTTCGACGGGAGGAAAATTCCTCATGATTATTTTCGATGAGCCGCTTTTCCATACGGCCGTTGGAATTCCAAAGATCGGAATTTCCGTTAGAACCGGAGACAAGCTTATTTTGGAATAAATATTATTGGGTGCATCGATCTGTAAAATAAGAGAAAGCAAGATTAAAAATTCGATTTAATGAAAACGTAAGAGCAGTGCTACCGTTAACTATTCTGTGTAGTGAGCTTGAAAATATGGATTCTTTGGGTGCTAATAAGTATATAAATCGTGAACGGATACAATTCAAAACATTAAATGGGCTCAAACACATATGTGTACAAACACACATACGATGACAAAAACTAAATCAGACATTTCTTATCGTATCAAATGTGATAGTCCGGTCGTAATATTTATAATTAACCAAAATGTCGATTAAGGTAATTGAGAATAAATAAAAATAAAACTACGCCCTCTAAAATACAAGCCACTTCGATGGTAAAACGCATTGTACTTCTGTATCGTAAGACTTCTCAGCAGCGTATTTTGTCAGTTTTTCAGCGTATCTTCTGGTCTCTTCGGCTGCGTTCCAAGAGTCAGAAAGTGATCTACTGTCACTCCTACGGCTTTCGTCTTGGTAATCGTTTGTTATATTTGTAGAGAATGCTGAAAAATTAAATTGCTATTAAATATATTGATTACACTTTCCATTGAGAAGTTTCCACGTTCCCTTTTTTTTTCTACCTATGCTGATAGCCTTGAGAAGCTATTTCAGCTTCGCCCTAACGTTTGTAGGTGAGCTCACGGGGCTCAACCGGGGAGTTGCTAACACTGACCCTAGCAAGAGCAGTGCTTCGCAGAATCTACCACCGGATCGGAAACGCGACCCACTGAGAAGATCCGGCGAGAAACTCAGTGGGCTGTGTCTATGGGTTAGTTCGCTCGTCGAGCCCTTCGTCGCAAGCGACGGGTTCGACGAGGAAGGTGACCGGTGCTTGTGGTGCCTAAAAGCACCGTTAATGGATCAGGAGGATCCGTAATGACGTGGAGCCACGTTCCCGTTTGCTCGACTTCTATATGTCTGTATATTGTTTGTTCCAAATATTATTTCAAGTATGCTATTCTAAAATATAATTACCATCATCGTGATTTCCCATTCTTCTATTTTTGCCAAAAAGATCAGGTGTATCCAGGAATTGTCCTCGACGCATGAATACTGAGACGTTAGTTCCTAAAAAAACAAATTTTGAAAACAAAAAGAGATGTAATAAGACTAATTAAGAAGCGTCTCCAATTTCGGCATTAAATCTCGTTTCTTATTGCATAAGCATGGTTTTTTTTTAAATCAGAGTAATCTATTGAATTATGAATAGCGCTAAATTGGAGAATGCGTGCTACTTTATGTGCCCAAAATTTTTAGTAAAATACCAATATTAAATGTACAGTTTCAACTCGATCGGATAAGCTAGATACCTAGACGCATAGAATACAGATAAATTAGAAAAACAAATTAGGCAATGCTCTTAAGAAGTTGAGTTGATTCGTAATCTGTTTTGTTCCATTGCACCAGCTTTTAGTGCGTCTGCAGAAATCGGTCTTGTTCGGCCGATTCTGGATCGTTTGGAACCTCTGGGTCTGCGGAAGGACTTCCGTTCCCTCTGTATTTTGTACTGTATGTTCCATGGGGAGTGCTCTGAGGAATTGTTCGAGATGATACCGGCATCTCGTTTTTACCATCGCACCGCCCGCCACCGGAGTAGAGTTCCCTGGAGCCACTGCGGTCATCCACAGTGCGTTTCCAGAGATCTTTTTTGCCACGTACCATCCAGCTATGGAATGAGCTCCCCTCCACGGTGTTTCCCGAGCGCTATGACATGTCCTTCTTCAAACGAGGCTTGTGGAGAGTATTAAGCGGTAGGCAGCGGCTTGGCTCTGCCCCTGGCATTGCTGAAGTCCATGGGCGACGGTAACCACTCACCATCAGGTGGGCCGTATGTTCGTCTGCCTACAAGGGCAATACAAAAAAAAGGAAAGAAATCCGCTTCTCATCGTTTCAATAAGTCGTTTAAATGTTCATATTAATTTAAGTGCTTAAATGTTTTTCTTTATTAAAAATGAACTTACTAGTGAATGTTAAGAACTCAGCCATAGAGTAATTGTAGCCATAAGCTATACCAGCCACTATCGCAATGGTGAGCCCAAAGCACACTGCGAAAGCCATTAGACATGCTAATGCAAAAGTGATAGCTCTGTGAATGGAAAAAAGTGCATCATTTCGCTATTGTAATTAAATTTCATTAATAGCACGCATCGAGTAACAGGGTTGGGATTATACAAGTTACGATTTGCCAGCTTGTAATGTGAAGTAAAATTTAAAAAGTGTATTTTCTAATTGTAAATGTAAATCTCATCTCCGATATCCATGGTCGATGATCATTACGGTGTTTTTTTCTTCTTTCATACTATAGTCTACTGTCTTTGCACCTCATTTGTAATTGAATTAAAATACTTAACTGGTTAACAATCTAAGGCAGAGTTTTTTAAACTAGCACACACGATAGCCTAATCAAACGCAGTGTTTTTAAATTGGTAAGAATTGTGTACCAATAATTTAAAAAAACTAGAGGGTTTTAACAAATGTCTTTATTAACTAAAATATACTTACTCGCTCTTTCTCGAGCTACTTACTTGGCGCGCTACTGACTTGGCTCTGCCCCTGGTATTGCTGAAGTCCATGGGCGACGGTAACCACTCACCATCAGGTGGGCCGTATGCTCGTTTGCCTACACGGGCAATAAAAATATATTTATAAAATTTGTTTTTTTTTGCATTTCCATTCAAAGTGTTAACGTGAATTCCATGAAAAGTATTCATGATATGACCGTTTTTATTGATTCTTCCTCTCGATTATGCTTTTTCTTCTGGAATAATATATATATTTTGATCCACTCATCTATGCATCCATCTTTCACATCCATTAACATAACGATTTACCACAACTCACAAAGTCATCCTCGTCTCATCTATTCTAGGAAAAGTTTCGGTAGTAACAACCATAGCCACGAAATTGTTCTTTAACAAAAAATATGTATTGAATACACGACAGTAATCCGTAAACATATAGTCTGTTCTACGCTGAAAAAGTCTATTGTTAAATCAATCGACCGAATACGCTGGCTTTCGATGAAATCTATCCCGAATTACTATTACGAAAATTTATGGATATAGGGAATACACAGTGATCAGATTGGGATTGGGTGTTCTTTAAATAGTTTTAGTCAAGCAGTAAGAGTTAAGGAATTTTGCTTGTCTTATTTAATTTAAAAAAGTTAATATACTGAAACGACCCGAACGTAATTAAAAAAGGTTGTAGATAAAATGTAGTCCATCATCATTATACAAAGATATTGAAATGTTTTGTATTTTTATAAATATCAGGATGGTTTGTTATACCGAAATGTTAAACGAGTAACATTATCTACACTTTTGTGAAAACATGATTGTGTGTATATATAATACTAGCTTTTGCCCGCGACTCCGTCTGCGTGGAATAGTTACTTTGGCATAACGCAAAATTTTACCCTCCACTTCATTTACGTAGAAAGTGAAGATATTTTTGAATTGTAGAATGTTAAAGAGCTATTTAAACCCCTATTTTGAAACATTTTTTATTGGTGCTCCACTTGTATTGGTCTCACCGTGATTTTATATAGCCTTCCTCAATAAATAGTCTATCTAATACTGAAAGAATTTTTCAAATCGGACTATTAGTTCCTGAGATTAGCGCGTTCAAATAAACAAACTCTTCAGCTTTATAATATTAGCATAAATATTCTTCTTCTTCTTGGCCTTCTCCTTATATTATGTAGGATCAGCGCAGCAGCAGCTCAGCCCACTGAGTTTCTCGCCCGATCTTCTCAATGAGTCGCGTTTCCGATCCGATGGTAGATTCTGCGGAGCACCGCTCTTGCTAGGGTTCGTGTTAGCAACATCGTCAAGTTTGAGCCCCGTGAGCTCACCTACTACCCCGGTGACGCTGACATGGTCTCTCTAGACCATTAGCATGGGTAGAAAAAAAAGCAGCAGCAGTCTTCTTATCGTGCGGCATAGGGATTTGGCATGAATTTTACGACCGGCCTGCCTTACGTCAACCCTACTTGGGTTATATCTCCATAATAATATATCCTTTGCAACGTGTCACAGAGAGGTAGGTTCCGTTTCTTATTTTTGGGTGTTTCTTTTACTTCATCCGTTTTTGGCACTATGATTTGCATCTTATTATTACAAACATTTGCCCTAAGATTTAGATTTTCAACAATATATTATATTATTTATATGTAAGCATACATAATATACATAGCATGTATTTATGTTTACACATTAAAACTAATTTAAACGGGATTCCGATCGAGAGATTTTCTGTATGTTGGGTTTTGTTGTAATCCCGTAATTCTACAATATAAATTCTTTATTTTATAATTAAAATTGATTTTATAATTAAGGCTATTTATTTCATGGAGAATGATGATTAAAAACATAGTTTGCGTAGTGTTTTACAGCGTTTCTGTTAGCATTATAGTATACGATTTTTATAATATGCTCATAATGCAGAAAAAAAATATCTTTAAACTGAAATTAAATAGATTTCAATGTAAAATTCAAATCGTATTCGTTTCAAACTCAAAACATTTCATATCGATTGCCCAACAAATAAACTAGACTATCCCACGAAATAATGTTATCAAGGTTAATTGGGACGATATCGTCGAATATAATAAATTATTTATAAATCGTCGTAAGTCATGCGATGCTGAAACCAAGGCCTCTCGTAATCTATATATGTATTCGTAAAATTACGATCAATCCGTCAGAGTTTATGCTCTTCCTGTCCTATGACGTATTATTGTGATAATATCTCTGAATATTTTTGTAGGTAGCGGCTTGGTTCTGCCTCTGGCATTGCTGAAGTCCATGGGCGACGATAACCACTCACCATCAGGCGAACCGTATGGAGATCCATACAAGGACAATAAAATATATGTATACACATATATCAATTCATAGAGACGGCGCGGCGGGCGCCACCCACTTGCATCGATAGCATTATGAATGAAACCACTGTCTATAATAGATGATAAAGACACACTGTAGGTCATAAAAAAAATAAAAAAAGCATATTTTGGCAACGTCATCACCTTTAAAGTGTAAAAGGTGCGCGAGAGAGACAGCATTAAATTCAAATAACTCTTCCATTTTTAATATTTTTCACAGAGCCCTATCAAAATAGGCATAAAGCGAAATAAGAAATACATTTCCATATCCCTATTGAGTGTATAGAATTTTTAAGACTGTTACATCGTCGGACATCCACATCTCAAAAGCATCAGTATTTTAGTAGTTAAGGAAATATGTAGGCGGGATGCCTAAATATTTTTAGTAATGTCTGTTTGTAGAATAAGATTACGATGACTTCCTTTTTTAGGTTTATTGAATTATGATATCATAAGCAAACATCGCTTCAAATAATACTGTCACAAAGTCGTTCTAACTTTAGTGGTAAATTAAAGGAATTGTAACCTAACCAATTAATTGGCTCAGTCTCAAAACTTTGACCTCTATCTGATTACAGCGTGTCTTAAACGAAGCTTATTGATTTCTATTGGTAATAACATAATCGTTATCTATTCTTTTTGTGTGTTTCTTGTTTACCCACATTAAATTAGGTAATGGCTAGCCCTAGCCTAGACACTTTCTTACGGATACACCTGGTTCCTTACACTATATTGTGAATCTTCTAGATTTAACGCCGGGATCAGGCATCACGGTACTCTCCTTTTTTTCCCTACCTAATCTTGTAGCCTCTCAAGGCTATGCCAGCGTAGCCTATTGAGTAGGTCAGCTTACGGGGTTCAAACTTGACGACGTTGCTAACATAAAGAGCAGTGCTTCGCAGAATCTACCACTGGATCGGAAACGCGACCCATTGAGAAAATCCGGCGAGAAATTCAGTGGGCTGTGTCTGTGAGTTAATTTGCTCGCCGATGTTCTCAGCGTGTCGCGATTCTGATCCGGTGGTAAATGCATTCATGACGCAGCTGCCCGTGACGGTCAGGGCTCCTTTGTAGGCGTTTGGGCAGCTGTGAGGAAATCTTCCTCTCTGGCTAAGCTTTTGAGTTCGCCTACTCGTCCCGGCGAAGTTAAGAGGTCCTCGGGTTAACTATATTTCCATCCCAAAAAAGGGTGATACATTAGCAGTTAGATGATTTTTTTTCGATTTTCGAACTTTTTTTGTTTTTCAGTCGTCCGTGACTATAAAAATTCTATAGTATCCTAAATGTCGGAAAATAATAAGATGAAAATAATATATGCAAGATTAAACAGTAAAAGTAGATATAATTTTGTGCCTTTTTAGTAATACGTAAATACGTCAGGCGTATACGTTAGATAGGTATGATAAGCTTTACTAAAAAAAATTTTGAGTGATAAATGTTTTGATGAATAACTAACATTTAGTATATAACTGATATTTTCCCGGTACTTTCTTGACAGAGTACTACTTTGATATGTTTAGTTGGTTATACGATTCTCTGTAACTCATATACACACTCTCATCACTCTAAAATTACATATAATACTTCTCTCACGGGTCAGCTCGAAAAGTTTTGCGTTAAGAAATAAACATTAATGTATTCTTAAGCTATTGCATAGCTTTTATCGCGGGCTTTGAGCGCAGCGACCGAATCAAAAAATTCCGTAACTAAAATAAAACCTTACACCCCCCCCCCCCCACTCCGCCTACCATGTAGCTCGCGTTCAACACATTCACACGTTGCGCTTGTGTAGTGTTTGTGAATAAGTGCGCGGCGTGACGTCACACTGCATGCGCATCATGAAAAGTCTGCCCATCTCTCTCTCGCGCTGTCTAGTTTATGAGTGTGAAGGGGACAGTTAATGTTTTGCTTTTGCTAATGTTTAATATTAAATTATTATTGTCTAATTATAATTGCATAAGTTGATTAAAAATGCTATGCAATTGCTTGACCGCGGCAGTCCTCGAGTGCCACACGTGTTTTATATTATCTTTTTGGTTTTCTGTGCTTACATAAATGAAAAATTTTACTCTTTTACACGAACCTTTGTATAAGGTCTAGAGTCCAAGCGAAGCAGTTGCAAATGTAGCACATTGTTTAATATTAGTACTTATTTGAAAGTTATGCCGACAATACACGTAGAACAATCCATCAAGAGACTTCTGTAAGACACAAAAAAATAAATGTTAGTTATATACGGCGCTATTATTCTAGAAAAGACGGGCGATGCAGGAAAAGTTCTTTGTGGCAGTCACATCCAGTAAAGCGTAGCATGGGATGGTTTCCTTATTATGGTCCCGTGATGGACGAACAAACACAGTCTCAATTGTATAGTATAAACGCTGCGTTCAATCTTCGTAGTGATACGTACGTTTACTTGGCTGCAGAAATAGGCTGGACGGTAGTATCTACCCGAACGCATTCACACCACGACTTACCATCGGCTTAATGCACATCACTAAATTGCAAGTTTATCTTTTGTTATGTGTGCGACATTTGTTTGTGGAATTTTCCGTGAACATGTTTTGCGTAATTATCTTTTCTTCTTCTAATAATTATTTTTTCTTCCTCCTAACTTTTTCCCGACTTAGTACCAGGGTCCGCTTTCCTATTTAACGTCCTTCAGTTTTCCCGGTTTTTGGCACGCTTCTGGATAAGGTTATTCTCTTCTATATCCGCCTTTGGCAATGCCAACCAGCGTTTCTTGGGCCTGCCGCGAGATCTTGGTGTATTTATGTAGAAACAATGGTATCTGCCTCTGGGACTAATTCTGAAGCATATTCGCATTAGTTCAAATGCTTCGAATGGACGTTCAACTAGACCAATTGTCAAACGGTGATAAATATTATGCCTAATTATGTTCTGGCTGATTATGGTCCTCTATGTATTGTGTTTTGATTGGACATAATATTGTTCCTCTCGCACGTTTTAGCTGTTTTCCTCCATTTTCATCGATGGTCGGTATTTTGGAAACACAAGGATATTGGATATTACGTGACAGATTTATTAAGATCAAAGCCATCTTGTTAGCGATCGACCACGTGACCTGTTTTCGATTGCACTTCCGCTTATTAGATTTCTCTCGAAATTGATGCTTACGACCCATATACTTAAGGTTCTTGAGGACTGGATGATGAATGAGCGTTTTTATTTATTATTAGATTAGATTGAGCGTAATTACAGGCTTTTTCCTGCGATTTTCTTGAAAGTATTTCTGTCTTTATTTTAAGCGAATATAAGAAGAGGATGAAAGATTTGGTGAGTTTTGTGCACTACAAGGGCAATAAAAATAAAAAATAAAAACTCTTTGTTGGTTTGAAATTTATACCCGGGATGTTTTTCACGAGTGACAGAAACTAGCCGGACTGGCGTTGATGACGCATGCAGCTCAGAGCTTGGTCAGAATCGAAATTGTCAATGCAATTACTAACAGGCTGAAAATCACGAGGCTCTGTGAAACTTCCCATTTTGTAAAGGACGACTTAAGGAAAAACACACAACCCGCTGTCTCACTTAACTGAGAGGAAATTTATGATACCGTCGCCGTAATGGCAGGTTTTATTGGTTTCATTTTTATTCATCATTTTTACTTTTTATGATGTGCAGCTCATCCGAAAAAGGTATGGATACAACTAAATATATCTTGAATGTCGATAGCATTGACGGCTATGAAATAATTGTTTTGTTTTTACGTAAACATAAGCTGCGTTTTCACTATGTTTGGAATACACGATCAACTTTATTCTCGTAAATATATAAAATGAAAGACAACATTTTGGCTTAACATTTTGGTTTTCTCCTCCTCCTTCAGTCGATCGCTCATTACTGAGCATCGTGATGTGCCCGACTATTACCTTTTTTTGTAATTTGTAGCCACTTATGTCAATGAGTGGCACAGTGAAGTGCGTGGCTCAGTCTCATGTCCAGATACTCGGACACTTGATCACTTCATCTTTTTCGGCTCCGAGCTCTCGATATTCTTCCATCCACTTTACCCGTCACTATAAGTCTATCCAGGTTGTCAGAGGGTTTTCTTGCTATATGACCAAAGTATTGGAGCACTCTATATAGGCATTTGGTGGATAGCCTCTGGTCAACTTTTAGCTCGTTGAGGATGGAAGCGTTCGTCCGGAAAGCCGTCCAAGGGATGCGCAACATGCGCCGCCAGCACCACATCTCAAACGCGTCTATGCGTCGCCTGGTTTACCCGCCCTTGGTTTACGGGCCTTATAAAGTTTAAGATCTTTGTTTTGAACCGCAGTGGAAATTTTTTGTAATAAATAATCACACATCTGTTTTTTTTACAGGCTGGGTGCCATTTCTCTTACGAGGTCTCCGCGCCTAGGGGGCGCGCGTGGTATGTGAGACCGGTACGCGGCTGCGAACCGCCCAGACGGTGCCGCTAGTGTCCCGGAATACCCCGCTGGACCAGAACCAGCCTGCCGGGTCGGGTCGCGATACACCGCCAACCAGTTGCTCTTTTTATCTTGAAGATATTTCTTTGCAGCGGAATCCATTAGCATTATTTTTGTTATTGCTAATGAAATGGACCCAAATGATTTCATATTGTACTTTAACCAAAACAGTGTAACATCATCTGTCCAATAACCATAAATAAATATAAAACTACAACAATAATAAAATTATTGTAGTTCGAAGTGCTCTGAGGAATTGTTCGAGATGATACCGGCATCTCGTTTTTACCATCGCACCGCCCGTCACCGGAGTAGAGTTCATCCATACTACCTGGAGCCACTGCGGTCATACACAGTGCGTTTCCGGAGGTCTTTTTTGCCACGTACCATCCGGCTATGGAATGAGCTCCCCTCCACGGTGTTTCCCGAGCGCTATGACATGTCCTTCTTCAAACGAGGCTTGTGGAGAGTATTAAGCGGTAGGCAGCGGCTTGACTCTGTCTCTGGCATTGCTGAAGTAAATGGGCGACGGTAACCACTCACCATCAGGTGGACCGTGTGCTCGTCTGCCTACAAGGGCAATATAAAAACAAAAAAATTGAAAATTCGGAGTCGTAGTGAAATCGCGGCTTAATTGCGGCTCATTTTGTATTCGTCCCGCTCTGGGTGGTGATGGAAGGTCCAAATGTGAAATAGTGTTTCATTTTTATTCGCGCCGAAAACTTCGAATCTATGTGGATATTTTTTATATTGCTTTTACTTAAATACCAAGATTGTTGTTGTTATTTATTTTGTGTTGTTTATTGAAGAGCAGCAAGCACTTTTTTCTATTGATCACCCAATCTGATCAAGTGATCGATCTTAATTTAATCATAATGACTGTAATTTTCAGATTTTCTTCTTCTTGCTTCGGTTTCTTCAATGCTGAGGTACGGGGAGGGTGGAGGGGGGGGGGTGGTTGTCTACAGGGTTCATAATAAGCATACTCAAAGGCCTAAAGAAAAAATCCGTCATGCCTATATTAGGCTTAATTTTGCCAACCACATCAAATTAACAAAAACTATCTTAGAGTGGGAAAACCCACACGTGAAAACAGAACACATGATGGTCCAGCATTTGTAAAATTGCACAAATGTGGGCAGAAGAAACAAAGGTCCTGGACATAGCTTTTCGGGTTCTTTGAAAAACGCACACCGAAAAAGTCTCATTAAATAACTACTATCTCACTGAGAATTTATTTCTTACAATTTCATCTAGTTTCATTTCATTTCATCCCATTTGATTAAAGTCTCAAAATAATCAATTTCATCTCATTTCGCTGTATATCATTTTTCATATAACAGAATATAAGACTTGGCTTAAAGGCCTCGATACCCAACTATATGTATTATATTGGCGGGTATGCAGATACAGGTAAGATTGCTAATGCTATTTGATTGGCTAACTAATCTCATACGATACTTTCTTGCCTATTGTTTTTATTAGCTTTGAATTAAATGAATGCACACTTTTTCTCTTGTTTTTTCTCGGTACATAGGTATGCCACGATAGACGACCCTTGCACGCATTACATTATTCTGTTAATTATATAGTTATGTTATATTAAAGAGCACAATATATTTCTTGTAACAAAGAAAAAATGGCATGATTATTATTTTTTTGGTTTATTCCGTTAAATCCTCCTCCTCCTCGCGTCGTTTTCCTCATTACTGAGGGTCGTGACTTCCCCGCTGCATCAGTTTCTCTCGTACGATTTCCCTCCATCTTCTACGATCCTTAGCTTTGTGAAGGGCATTGTGGAGGTTGATGTCCAGAGAAGATCGTATTTGGTCCGGCCATCTCGCAGGACTGCGTCCTCTGGGACGTTTGCCATTCCGTTAAATACAATAATCAAAATAGGTAACTTACCAATAGGTTTGCCGTTGGAATGAAGGGCATTAAACAATAAGATTCAACAATTCTATTACAGTTTAAAACAATTTGTTGTGCCATAAATTGTTGTAGTCGAAAATGATGTCATACAACTGAAGGTTGATCAATGTGTTGACAAAAAAGACATATTTATGGAATGCGTTCAGAAATGACGATTTTTAAAGATTAAAATATACATACTTTGCTACTATTGCTTATTCTTATTTATGTTTTACAAATAAACAAAATTAAAGAAACAAAATTATTGTTACATTGTTCATATTTGTATATTTACCAATATAATATATGTTCTGTGCGTATGTATTTGTCCATGTATGTATGCATGTGTTTGTATATGTATATTTCAATCGATAGGTAGACCGCGTGTAATTTATTTCCTAATGATTCTTGTCCATCTGATGGTTGTCTGGAAAAGATCGTTCTTGGCGATAAGACCGCCAATAGTTTTTTGTGTTTAATGTTTCGCAATTATTTCTTTATTTTGTGTATAATAACGGATACTTTGAATTAGTGAATTAATATTGTAAGGTCGGTAACTTTAGACAAGAAGTCGAAGTTACATTAAAAACTAATAGGTTAAATATAATAATAACAAATAAATTAGGCAATCGTATTCGTGTGTACTTCTAATCAATAGTATTATAGGTATGAGTTAGGGGGAAAAATAGGGAGGACTTTTTCGTGCAGAAGTTTTAATTACCCGAGTAGTTTGTACCACATTTAAGCATATTTTCAAATTATTAGCCAAATATATAACCTGAAACATAATTGCTTATTACCAACTCTCTGCCTTATGTTTACTTTTTTTTTTTATTGCTAGATGGGTGAACGAGCTCACAGCCCACCTGGTGTTAAGTGGTTACTAGAGCCCATAGACATCTACGACGTAAATGCGCCACCCACCTTGAGATATAAGTTTTAAGGTCTCAAGTATAGTTACAACGGCTGCCCCACCCTTCAAACCGAAACGCATTACTGCTTCACGGCAGAAATTGGCAGGGCGGTGGTACCTACCCGCGCGGACTCACAAGAGGTCCTACCACCAGTAATTACGCAAATTATAATTTTGCGGGTTTCATTTTTATTACACGATGTTATTCCTTCACCGTGGAAGTCAATCGTGAACATTTGTTGAGTACGTATTTCATTAGAAAAAATGTTATCCGCCAGAGATTCGAACATCGGTGCATCGCTCAACACGAATGCACCAGACGTCTTATCCCTTAGGCCACGACGACTTCAAACTTACTTGCACTAATACAAAAATATCTAACCAAAAAACTACTAACTTTAGTAAAATTAACAGCTTTTACATTACAAACATTAAATGATGTTAGGAATACACGAAACATGTGATAATAACATTCGAGAAACAAATTGTCAACATTACGACGACTGATTAAGAACTACCGCGAATCTTAGTCGCTGACGTTTCCAAAGCTAAAAATATTAACTAGTTTAACTGCCTTGAACTCATCCGGATAATCACTCGATATTTATTGTTACATATTACGACAAATAATTGAGTTCGAAATGCTAGTACGATGAGGGCATATTGCTGCCTAGTCGCTCAGTCTTTGATAGTTTTTCTTGGTGGGCGGACGTCCCGCCCGCCTTCACGACCGAGTCGCGAGTACGCGAGTGAATTCAAACTATACTTTTGTACTACTATTGTGAATAAATCGCTGTGTGCATTTTGTGTTTAGAAGTTCAACTGAAATTCGATTAAAGGTAATTTCTTTAACATTAATAATTCAATTATATTAAAAGAAGTTTAAGAATTATTTATATTTTAATTTTGGTACACGTTTCATATTAATAGCCGTAATGAATGAAATAAAAAAAGTACACATATTGTTATGTCATGGAATTTGAATATCAGTGTATTATGAGTAATACAACTTTAGCGTAGCTTTTTCGAACTACGGTACCTCGAAACTATGTAGATTAAGTTATGAGTAGTATACTAGTAAGTACATCAAGAGAACTATATTTTTAACTTAATTTTGAAGATAATTTGAAGTTTCAAGTGCTATTTTTATTTTGATATTCCATTGTTTTATATACATGGTTTGTTTATATGTATATGTATATTAATTTATTTATATCTATGTGATTTTGTTTACAATTAAATCTGAAAAATGGAACTGGTTAAAACCAGAGGAACTTACACTGCTCAGATATTATTTGATTAGAAGATACGGGTATGTAACCCTTGTAACCCTTGTTACTAACATCATTTTAGCATCGTCCGTACGTGGGTGAAGTATCCTGTTTTGTACTCTTTAGTTTACAGTAGAAAGTAGGAAGTAATGTTAATAGGAGATATTGTGAGACCGCACAGATGGGTACTTCGTCTATTTCTGACTGAAATGAAGCGCTCGTTTTGTATTGAATATGCATTACTCTAATTGAGAGTTTGACGGACGCTGTATGGTGGATGAGGCAGTTTATCTAGTGTTTATTTACTGCACTAAATTAATTTGAAGTTTAGTCATTTCAAGTACTGATTTAATTTGTAAAATTTACTGGTGGTTGGACTTATTGTGAGGCCGCACGGGTAGGTACCACCGCCCTGCTTATTTCAGTCGTGAAGCAGTAATGCGTTTCGGTTTGAAAGGGTGGGGTAACCGTTGTAACTATATTGAGTCCTTAGAACTCATATCTCAAGGTGGGTTTGAAGTCGTCGTGGCCTAAAGGATAAGACGTCCGGTGCATTCGTATGTAGCGATGCACCGGTGTTCGAATCCCGCAGGCGGGTACCAATTTTTCTAATGAAATGCGTACCTACTCAACAAATGTTCATGATTGACTTCCACGGTGAAGGAATAACATCGTGTAATAAAAACCAAACCCGCAAAATTATAATTTGCGTAATCACTGGTGGTAGGACTTCTTGGGAGTCCGCACGGGTAGGTACCACCACCCCGCCTATTTCCGCCATGAAGCAGTAATGCGTTTCGGTTCGAAGGGTGGGGTAGCCGTTGTAACTATACTGAGACCTTAGAACTTATATCTTGAGGTGGGTGGCGCATTTACGTTGTAGATGTCTATGGGCTCCAGTAACCACTTAACACTAGGTGGGCTGTGAGGTCGTCCATCCATCTAAGCAATAAAAAAAAAACATACGTTATAGATGACTATGGGCTCTGGTAACCACTTAACACCAGGTGGGCTGTGAGCTCGTCGACACATCAATGCAATAAAAAACAAACAAAAATTAATGTCAAAAAATCTTTATGACAATATTCCGGCTGATGCATTTAAGATACGATTATGAGAAATAGACTTTCTCTAGTTTAATACTTTGTGTCATTTGTATGTAGTATGCTGTTATCTGTTTTTCTGCGTAATTCCCTAATTCGTATTACAGCTGCTGTTAGAAGAATACATTGAGAGGCAAGTACGTGCTGTGAAGCATTTTCACGTGATTACGGATCCTCCCGATCCATTAACGGTGCTTTTAGGTACAACAAACACCGGCCAGCGTCCTCGTCGAACCCGTCGCTTGCGACGAAGAGCTCGACGAGCGAATTAACCCATAGACACGGCTCACTGAGTTTCTCGCTGGATTTTCTCAGTGGGTCGCGTTTCCGATCCGGTGGTAGATTCTGCGAACCACTGCTCTTGTTAGGTCTAGGGTCAGTGTTAGCAACATTCCGGTTTGAGCCCCGTGAGCTCACCTACACGTTAGGGCGAAGCTGAAATAGCCTTTCAAGGCTATCAGCATAGGCAGGGAAAAAAGAAGCATTTTAGCCCAAAGGGAAAGACAGTCATTCTTTCAACGCATTGACACTTTAATATTGTCTATAAATGCCAATTTGATTTGATCAGAGATGTCATTAGTAGTTCAAATGTACGAGTACCTATATTTGCAACGGAAACCAATTCTATTGGAATCTATTTCGAACGATAATAACGAAAAATTAGAGATATAAATATTTGAGATAGTTTTTTAACTTCTTCTTTTTTTTCTCCACCTTATCCCACTAGGTGGGGTCGGCACAGCTAATTTTTCTGTTCCATTCTCTTCTATCAGCCGTCATCTCAACACTCACTCCTCTTTCTCTCATATCATCATTCACACACCCCATGTCTTCTTTGATCGACCTCTTCCCCCTCTACCTTGCACTACCATTTCCATACATCTCCTAGTCACATGCATATTCTCGCTACGCATCACATGTCCATACCACACTAGTGAGATAGTTTTTTAACAACGTCGCAAAAATAGACTTTCACTGTTAACGACTCGTTGAAAGTAATCTGCAACAGTTTAGTTATGTTCGCGCCGGTCATTGACCACGCAATGTTTTCTCTAGGCAAACTCGAAAACAATGGTCGCTCCGAATTGTGGAAATTCTTGAATTCTTTATGATCGGCCCTTGTTCGTGTTTGTAGTTGTATTGCCGAAATTTCACTGAATATTTTGTGAATCATTGTTCTTGTAATTATTCTAAGAGGCAAAGTGGGTAACGGTTGAGGTTGGGTGGCGTCATTTAAGTCACCAATAAGTCACCAAACGTGAGATTTCCCCCACCTAAGCAATGAAAATAAAATAAAAAACAGTACATAAAAACAAATTTGTTTCGCGCATATTTATATTGTAATGACGCCATATTAATTCTTTGTGCACTGTAACTGCCTTTGTAACTGACAAAGGATTTGACTCTTGGCATTGTCACTTCAATCCTGAATACTCCGTTAGTGATACCCATTAAAATACAGACACTTCTGTATAATTAGCATTAATCATATTCACCAATCTTCGTTCAAATATTGTAAGAAGTCAGAGATCTAGTGAAAAACTCAACGAAAAATCTACGCAAAGACGTATGTACATATTGTACCTACTTTTTACAACGAAAACAAGCAATCATACGAATGTTACTTTATATTACTGGGTAATTGGTTACACAATTCCCACAATTCCATCCTAATCTTCACCACCAGTAATAAATGTACGCGTAACAATGGTAATTACGACAATTACTCGATTTTAATTGAAACCAACTATCCTTAAGACGTCTTACGTTACATTGATGACAGTAATTTGTTGACAAACTCTCCTGTTATTAATATAAGTGACAGTGATGATTTTAATAATATTACTGTCTCAAAATAAATGGACGAAGTAAGCGTTACGTAATGTAAGACGAGATTCTCATTGCGTTTTTTGATTAGCGTCAGAAGTAAATTCAGAGATATAAAAGAAAAATGAGTTTTATTTCAATATACAAAGCTTACGTGCAACATTGTCTGAGATTTGTAAATTTATTTATCTAATTTTCTCGAGGCCAGTAAGAGCGAGAGAGAGAGACCAGAGGCTTGAGGGCGTGGATGTACATAATATAGAGTTGACACTTCTGAGATGCTGCCACTCTGAAATAAGCCGTTCTGTCTACTTTCATTATTATTTTATTTTATTAATATACTGCTACTATTATTGATGGTAGGGTCCTTTGTAAGTCTGCATGGGTTGGTACCAAAATTTACCTATTCTGGCTTACTGGCCGAGCATTCTGCTCCGAAGGGTGGGGCAGCCGTTACATAATACAATTTAGTCTCAAACCTCATGACTCAAGGTAAATGAAAGAAAGCGGCATGCCCTTTGTGATATCTAAGTGATCAGACACCCACTTAACCTTAACTCAACAAGGCTTAGTCCTATCACCAGTAAGTAACCAAATTATAGCTTCTGCGGGTGAGATATTTACTGCACAATATTATTCCTTCACCGTGGAGGTCATTCGTGAGTGTAAAATACGTATTCCACTGGAAGCTTTCGAGTTTTCGTTTATAAGGAAAGCTACTTTGTGTAACTTTAACACTGAGGCACTACTTATCGTTCCTTGACATCAATATCTAATAGCTTTCCGATGCTGGAAAAATATCTTAGTTGAAACATTGGCTGGGAAACTTCAGACATTTTTCCTTTTCATATAACAAAAAAAGTCTAGGCTGTCAAGAACACAATATTCGTGGGCGTCTTGCCGTGACACGTAATTAATCGACACTCAATTTACTTTAAGTTTTGTAATTTTATAGCCTTCTTAGAATAAAAAATATCGAACGCTGCCATTGGAAGTGCTCCTGGTATTTTTAAATTGTACAATTTTATTTACTTGAAAGGCTTAAAGGGTACAATCATTTTATCTTATACGTTTTGTAGAAATTTGTAACAATAAGTTATTTATATTTTGATATTGCATTTCTTATCAAACGTGATATAAAGTAAGTGATTTCTTAGGTTCAGACACCTCTTTGCTTAGAGCATCAAAATAGTCCAAATTGTTGTTATTTTCAAAGAAGGGCAAACAAGTTCATCTGAAGCTAAGCGGTTCTTGAAGCTTTTTTTATTTATTGATTTTTCTCTACCTTTTCGTTAGTCTAACAGGTTAGTATTCCAACTACGAATGGACTGACAGATGAGCTCACGGGGCTCAACCTAGGAGGACTTACTAATACTAAATAATATTAGTGATTCGCTAAATTTAGCACTGAATTGGAATAGCGTGTAACTCTCTCGGATTCGACGAGAACGGTGGCTGGTGCTTGGAGTATTTCTTATTGTCTCTGTAAGCAGACGAGCATATAGGTTAGCTGTAGCTTAGTGTGTTGCTGTAAGTGGTTATAGTCTTTCATGGACGTCAACAATGGTAGGGGCATAATCAAGTCCCTACCTGTCCTTCTCTTCATCTCGGGAGGCTAAATTAGTTTTGATTTGTAAA